TCTGTAGCATAAACATAAATTTAGAAAAAAATTAAACAAAATACCATACAATTGTTGTCGAACTGACAGGTTGAATGTATGTATACAGTGGGGCAAAAAAGTATTTAGTCAGCCACCAATAGTGCAAGTTCTCCCACTTAAAAAGATGAGAGAGGCCGGTAATTGTCATCATAGATATACCTCAACTATGAGAGACAAAATGTGAAAAAAAATCCAGAAAATCACATTGTCTGATTTTTAAAGAATTTATTTGCAAAATATGGTGGAAAATAAGTATTTGGTCAATAACAAAAGTTCATCTCAATACTTTGTTATATACCCTTTTTTGGCAATGACAGAGATCAAACGTTTTCTGTAAGTCTTCACAAGGTTTTCACACACTGTTGCTGGTATTTTGGCCCATTCCTCCATGCAGATCTCCTCTAGAGCAGTGATGTTCTGGGGCTGTCGCTGGGCAACACGGACTTTCAACTCCCTCCAAAGATTTTCTATGGGGTTGAGATCTGGAGACTGGCTAGGCCACTCCAGGACCTTGAAATGCTTCTTACGAAGCCACTCCTTCGTTACCCGGGCGGTGTGTTTGGGATCATTGTCATGCTGAAAGACCCAGCCACGTTTCATCTTCAATGCCCTTGCTGATGGAAGGAGGTTTTCACTCAAAATTTGACGATACATGGCCCCATTCATTCTTTCCTTCACAGAGATCAGTCGTCCTGGTCCCTTAGCAGAAAAACAGCCCCAAAGCATGATGTTTCCACCCCCATGCTTCACTGTAGGTATGGTGTTCTTTGGATGCAACTCAGCATTCTCTCTCCTCCAAACACGACGAGTAGAGTTTTTACCAAAAAGTTCTATTTTGGTTTCATCTGACCATATGATATTCTCCCAGTCATCGTCTGGATCATCCAAATGCTCTCTAGCAAACTTGAGATGGGCCTTGACATGTACTGGCTTAAGCAGGGGGACACGTCTGGCACTGCAGGATTTGAGTCCCTGGCGGCGTAGTGTGTTACTGATGGTAGCCTTTGTTACTTTGGTCCCAGCTCTCTGCAGGTCATTCACTAGGTCCCCCCGTGTGGTTCTGGGATTTTTACTCACCGTTCTTGTGATCATTTTGACCCCACAGGGTGAGATCTTGCGTGGAGCCCCAGATCGAGGAAGATTATCAGTGGTCTTGTATGTTTTCCATTTTGTAATAATTGATCCCACAGTTGATTTCTTCACACCAAGCTGTTTACCTATTGCAGATTCAGACTTCCCAGCCTGGTGCAGGTCTATAATTTTGTTTCGGGTGTCCTTTGACAGCTCTCTAGTTTTGGCCATGGTGGAGTTTAGAGTGTGACTGTTTGAGGTTGTGGACAGGTGTCTTTTATACTGATAACGGGTTCAAACAGGTGCCATTAATGAAGGTAACGAGTGGAGGACAGAGGAGCCTCTTACAGAAGAAGTTACAGGTCTGTGAGAGCCAGGAATCTTGCTTGTTTGTAACTGACCAAATACTTATTTTCCACCATATTTTGCAAATAAATTCTTTAAAAATCAGACAATGTGATTTTCTGGATTTTTTTTTCTCATTTGGTCTCTCATAGTTGAGGTATATCTATGATGAAAATGACCGGCCTCGCTCATCTTTTTAAGTGGGAGAACTTGCACTATTGGTGGCTGACTAAATACTTTTTTGCCCCACTGTATATGGATAAAAGGATGAAAACTTAAGCTTGTTTCTAGGATTACAAAAATGCATGAAAGTTGATTATACGAATTTAGGATTCACATCTAGACCAAATACTGGAGAGATAAATATTGAAGAAAAAACTTATTGTATATTGCAAAGCTCAAAACTGGGGAATTATGCAATTGTAAAGAACAAAAATAGTTTTTTTTTTATTTCATACAAAAAATTTTAACTCAGTCCAAGGTATTTGCAAATTTAAGGGATATAATAACATAAATTATATTTTACCTTCTGAATTCTTTGGAATAAAAATATATTTCCCTCTTTTCCTTATCATTTTCACCAAGCAGTTTTTAAAAACTCAGACTCAAATCCTCTTCTCTAAATTGCTCTAGCATAAGGTTGGAAACTCTGAATTTTCAGGTTCACTACGGCTGCTGTGAGTTAGATTAATCAACTCTGAGTAGGTCCACTCAAATTAAGCACGTGTACAACAAATATTAAAAGCCATTATGTGGAGCGCCAATACCAAGAGTTACCATGACAACAAGCCAACAGGAAATGCCTATTTCACAACCCTGGAAGTAGACATTTTAATGCAGAAATAATAAAAGAAAACAATATAGAATCCAGTTAAAAGAGGAAAAAAGCCCTACAGCTGCAAAGGAGAAGAAGTCAGCGTAGGAGGAGTTACTCAAGTTAATCCATATGTCTATATAAAGTGGCAAGCTGTTTTGACATTTATTAAAAGTACTCTCTACTCTGTTGTTTCATTTGTAGATCACTAAAATAGGGTTATTCTTGGTCAAAATTACACTCCTAGTCACAAATGTAGTAACAGATTTTCCAAATTACATTTATGCCATCAGAAACTCAATTTCAGAAAGTAAACAAACAAAATGTGCTAGTAAGAATTACGTTTTATATACCTGGAAATGTTAACACATTTTAAGTGGCCATTTTGAATACTTTTTTAGCTTGACTGAACATGAACAGTGCCTTGCGAAAGTATTTAGCCCCCGTAAACCCTTCAGGCTTCAAACATAAAGATATTCTTTGTGAAGAATCAACAACAAGTCAGACACTTGGAGTGGAATGAACTGTATTAGAAAATTTGTGTTTACAAAATTAATCAGCCCCTTTGACTTAATACTTTGTAGCACCACCTTTTGCTGCAAATTCGCTCGAGGTATGTTTTGCACATTGAAGATAAAGTATAAAAACTTTCTAACAGGTAGAACCTGTTCATCATCTCATGAGGTTCATCCTCATTTTGATTCTACCTTCCATTTCACAGTAATAAGTGGCTGTTTGCAGCTGCTTCACATGTTATCATCCCAATAAATGGCTGTTATTAGCTGTTATTTGTTCTGTAAATTGGCTTCAGATTGTGCCTCCTACCTATACCAATTCGCTCAGTACAGCGGCGGTTCTAGACCCAATATACCAGGGGGCCATGAGGGGGCCAGCGTGTTTTCATAGGGGCCACAGAAAAGCATGAAATAAAAAACAGGGCAAGTGATTCAAATATATTAAGATAGCTGCATAAAGTGAAATTTCTATTCAATTAGGTTTAATTAAAATTCTGTCTTATTAGGTCAATATACATTCATAATTTAGGAATTTTACCTATTTTTTGACTTAATTTAAGTTAAAATTTAAGTTTTCTATACGATCTGAATTAGAACTCAAGAAAAACTGATAAAATCAGCTGTAAAAATTAGACTATTTTTTTCTATTCAAAAAAAAAATTATTTAATAGAGGAAAACTGGGATCCTATATCAACACCATTGAAGCTATCACCTTATTTTGTTTAAATAATTAGTAAAACAGAATAAAAAAAAAAAAATAGATCCAAAGTAACCATGTCTGTTCCAATGCATATCATCATTGGAGAGGTATCTTAATTTGCACAGTTGGCACACTGTACATGGATGGCCTGTTACATTTTTACTATAACATGTAAAAAATTTAATTGTTCCAAAGTACTAATCCATTATGGTTTATTTTCAAGTGCACATCAAGATAAGATACTGATCTGATGTTACATCTTCATTACCGGGGTCAAGGCGAAATTTACAAGGGCAATGGCTCCTGTTGGCCCTAGTCTAGAACCGCCCATGGAAATGTGCAAGAAAGCAACAGTGACTGACACTTTTTAAACTTTTATCACGCATTTAAATGGCACACTGGAAAAACAATCTAGAAATACGTAAAATTTCCTTAAATTACGTGTATTTATTCTTAATTTGAGTAGGTAAATAAGATGATTTGCCTATGCAATGAGTATTTTGACACTTAAAATAAGATAATTAGATAAAAATGCACTTGAAATGAGACAATGCAATTGTATTTTCTTATTTTCAGTGAAAATTCTCTTGTTCCATTGGCAAAATGTATCTTTTACCTCCTCAATCCAAGAACAAATGCACTTATTTTAAGAAAAAATGACTTAGCTTGATTCAGATTTTTTCCAGTTCATTACATGACAATATAACAAAAAGACATCGGTCAAACTCAGGAGGAAAAAGAAACTCCGACAAATTGTGCGCAGAACTGTAAATGAGGCCATGATCAAGACTTTTTTTTTTTTTACATAAGTATCCATATGTTTAACACTGTTTCCTGAGCCACAACAACTTTATACCCAAATCGTTAATTTAATCAATAAATTTGTGTTGATGTGTGGTGTGAATTTCATGACAATGGAAATTATAAAAAAAAATTTAACTACGAAACAACTTTGACAACCTCAGTGCTTCACTGCAAAAAATCTAAATCTAGATAAGTCATTTTTTCTTAAAATAAGTGCATTTGTTTTTGAATTGAGGAGTTAAAAGAGACATTTTGCCAATGGAACAAGACAATTTACACTTAAAATAAGAAAACACAGTTGCATTGACTTATTTCAAGTGCATATTATCTAATTATCTTATTTTAAGAGTAAAATTACTCATTCCATTGGCAAACTATCTCATTTACCTACTCAAATTAACGGTGAATACACTTAATTTAAGACATTTTTACTTATTTCTAGATCGTTTTTGCAGTTGCCCATTTATGCATAGGGATAAAAGAAAAAATAAAAATATTTTAGGTGAAAATTACCCAGTCAGGTTTATTAAAGTATTTTGCACAAAGTCTGTACCATGAAGCATTTGTGTTAGATCTACAGAGTAAGTGTTTCTCTTTTATAGACAATACAAACCATAAGCTCAGCACAGTCTCGTAACTTCTGCAGGCACAAATTGCACCATTAAACGACGCAGGCGCCACCTCCTCTTAAACTTTGGACTTTGCTTTTAACAACAAATGTTATGTATGTTTAAGAATCCTCCCACTGCATGACGGCAGCCACAATGTGCGTTGCAGTCATGGCAGCAATAGATATGTTTCTCCAATCAATCAGCCCAGTATCAGTTTTAGGAGCTGTAGTGTTTCTGCTGATTGGGTATCACTGCTTTCTCTTTATGTTTAACCAAAATGAAAACAGACGGGGACCGCCGGGACCGAAGCCCTTTCCCATAGTTGGCAATCTGCTGCAGCTGGGTGTTAGGAGACGTGACCAAGCCTTCATGAAGGTGAGGCAGAGCTGATCTCACATTGTTCTAATATATATTCCAATACATTTTACATCAATCTTATTGATATTATTTATGGTTTATCTTGTTTTCTAATAGTTATTTGCAATGAATAGGAATATTATGGCCACTGAAACACTCAAACTTTGTTTGACATATATTCTAATTCTATTTGCCCTCTTATAGGGCAAGTATTTGAAATGTAATGTCACAATACCCGGAAAAGAAACCCTTGGTAAATAGAAAGAGCAGTTTTAAAATGATGATTTGTTTGAAAGGAAAAAGAAAAGCATGGAAAACATCTTAGAATGTTGCAGTTCTTGTTGTTAAATCATGAAATAAACTGTCATTTCCAACATTTGTTGAAAAGCTTTGTTATTAATTTCACTTCAGGCTACATGTCTCATTTATTAAACCCCACGTAGAATCCAAGAAGGCTTATAGGTCTACTCACCCCCAGGTTCTATTCATTATTAAGAGAGGTCCTCATATATAGTTATGGCCATGAGTAGGACAAAGTCATTGATTTCCAAATCATAAGTAAGTCTTAAGTTTTTTGGTGTAGTACAGACAGGTAAATCTCAAGTCAAGACCCAAGTCCTGTAATTTGAGTTTCAAGTCATTTAGAGTCCTTTTAACCACGAAATAATACAATATTTACACAAAAAATGCATAATTCTATATGTTTTTACTAAAACAACTGCAATTGAAATTGCAGAAAAAATTTAGTGCTGACGTAGGTTCGAGTTATTAAAACATCCATCCATCCATCCATCCATCCATCCATCCATCCATCCATCCATCCATCCATCCATCCATCCATCCATCCATCCATCCATCCATCCATCCATCCATCCATCCATCCATCCATCCATCCATCCATCCTCTTCTGCTTATCTGGAGTCGGGTCATGGGGGTAGCAGCTTCAGTAGGGAGGCCCAGACCTCCCTCTTCTGAGCCACTTGGGTCAGCTCCTCTGGGGGAAACCCAGGGCGCTCCCAGGCCAGCTGAGAAACATAGTCCCTACAGCATGTCCTGGGTCTCCCCCCGGGCCTCCTCCCGGTGGGACATGCCTGGAACACCTCACCAGGGAGACGTCCAGGAGGCATCCTAACCAGATGCCCGAGCCACTTCAACTGGCTCCTCTCGAAGTTAAGGAGCAGCGGCTCTACTCTGAGTCCTCCCTGGATGACTGAGCTTCTCACCCTATCTCTAAGGGAGAGCCCAGACACACTATGGAGAAAAGTCAAATAAGCCACTTGTGTCAGATTTCTCGTTCTTTTAGTCATGACCCGAAGCTCATGACCATAGATGAATGTAGCAATGTAGATTGACCGCTAAATCGAGAGCTTTGCTTTTTTGCTCAGCTCTATCTTCACCACAACAGACCAATACATAAACATATAATAATCAAAAACATCCATGTTATTTCATGTATTTTAAAGATTATATTTTCTATAAGATTATATTGGACACAACAGATCTGGCTAAAAAACAAAAACAAGTAATGAATAAGAAAAGGGTGCAGTGGAAAAAAGCTCTTCACTATATAAATAGAAGACAGAAAAAAATAATGCTGAGATTGGATGAGTAAGGAATGCTATTTAGGTTTGCTCTTTAAAAATCCTTTTTAATTTAGCCTTAAAAAGAATTATTAAATCATTCTTCATTCATCCTCCTCTCAAAACTTCCAGAGTTGACCTTACCCCTACTCTGCAATCCATCCAGCTTCCGGTCTCCTCTGTTATCCTCCAGATCTAGACTCAGATGCCCACCACCTCTGCCCAGCTCTGGTGGATTATCTGCCGAGAATTCTGCTTTACTCTACCGCTAACTTCCTCTAAACCCCTGATAGAGAGTGCACCAAAGTGTTGGTGAATAGTACTCCATCCTGGTGCACTCTGCCCAGTGTACAATCTCCCAAGAAGAGATTGGGAGCTCAGTCAGGAGCAGCAGAAGATCAATTTGATTTGCTGGAAGCTGTCAGATCAAAACAACATGGATCTTATTTGAGTGGCTGTTCTGACAGCACGTATCAACAGTGGTGTTGGTGGGGTTCTTTGGCACTCAAAGCAAGGAAATTCCCTGGGCCTCCACCCCACCTGTACATGCATTACATATACATTTTTTAAGGCAGACACAAATGCACAATCTCTAGGGGAATGTGTTATGTTTTAGTATGGAGAACCCCATAATTCAAGCTGACACTGTATGAGGTTTTAAGGTTTTACTGACAAGGGTAAAACCTTAAAAGCTTAAAACCATAAGGGTGAGTATATTGCAGACAAGGGGAAGGCAGGCAGTTCCTGGAGAAGTCTGACTGTTTATGCAGTCTGACAGTATGCAGAGGCAGATTTGAACCAGAGTAGCCAACAGCATTATGCCACACTTCAGTTGGAAGAGGTGGTTAGACTGATAATGCTGATGATGCACCGATGAAGAGTACCAGCAAAGGCAAAAAGGGAAGACTGACGTGCCTTCAAAGGCACGGGGAGGATGAAGGCTTGCAATGCCTGCATTGGTGTAGATCAAGAAATTAAAGATAAGGGAGATTTGTTACACAAAGGAAGGGAAGACGTGAAGAAGATTGCCATCAGTGATTTGCCAAACATGCTCATCTAGACGCTGAGGGCATTAAGCACTTGAAGGAGAGGGGAGATTTAGACAAATTAATACGAGCTGAAAAGGACCAGCAGTCCATACTGAATGAGTGACTTGAAATGTCTAAGATTTATTAGGATAGGATTAGTAAATGTATAAAGAGCCGGGCTGCAGTCATGGAAACGCGTTCATAGAGCTGAAAGGATTGCTAATAAGCTTAGTACTGATGTTTAATGTTAAAGTTGAATCCTCCTAAAATATTGAAGACCATCAAGTCTTCCATAAAAACGGAGGAAAGCCCACAGGCATGACTGTGTTTGAGCTGGGATACACTCTCATTGTGTTCAGTATGTCTTGGTCTGAAAAACACCAAAGCAGGCCTTGCTTGTTCAGAGAAGTCCTGGCACAATGCCGATTTTCCCTCAAGAAGTTTTGTCGCCAACACTCATCATTCGAAGAGGTCCGATGAATGACCCGGTGATGACCTCAAAAAAAGCTAATTATTTTACTAAACGTTTTGAAAAAATCTATATATTTTTTTCTTTTCTTTTGCACACCTGTCTTTGTCTCAGCTTTCTAAGAAGTACGGATCTGTGTTCACTGTCTACATGGGATCAAGGAAAATGGTGGTGTTGACGGGTTACAAAACAATCAAGGAAGCATTTGTAGGTTATGCAGATGAGTTTGGAGAACGGGAAGCACCCAGAATGACTAAAGAAGCAAACCAACAACACGGTAAATAGTAGGTAATATTTCAAACATGCAATACTTAACATATAGAAAAGTTATTGGACTGACTTATTTTATTGTTTCAAACAGGTATTGCAATGGCCAATGGTGACTCTTGGAAAGAAATGCGTCGCTTTGCTTTGACAAAACTTAAGGACTTTGGGATGGGAAAAAAAGTCTGTGAGGAGAAAATCATTGAGGAATGTCAGCTCCTCATGCAGGAGTTTAAAAGGTTTAAAGGTAACAGCAGCTGTGAGGAATACAATAAATGATGCAGATAATAATATCCTGGCTATTCCACAATAAGATTCTCCACCAACAATAGCTGCTTGAAGTTATGTTAGATGGAAATCAGAGTTTCCAGATCCTTGTACTAAACACTAAGAAATGCTTCTTATCTGGATTAGATTTATCATATTGAAAAGTACCAAAAACCAGTTAACCTCAAAAACAAAATATAGTGTTCAGTCCAGTCTTCGATCCATTTTAATCCTGCTCCTTCTTAAAACCTGTGGTCTTGTTGTCCGTGACCAAATGTCAATGACTTAGTTCTGCTAAAACCTGCTGTTAAGTATGGTTCTTGTATATTTTTTATGATAATAATGATTAAACTTTATTGATCTCATATTGAGAAATTTACCTTGGCATAAAACCCATCCCCTTGGGGAGCAGTGGGTTGCCATTGTGTGGCACCCGGGGAGCAGTGAGGTGTTAAAAGTCTTACTCAGAGAGCAAGAGAAGAGGCTGTGGGGATCCAACCGGATACTTGCAACCTTCTCAGATCACAACCACACTGCTCTAACCCACTTGGCCAACACTGAGGATAAATATTTATTTTTTGATAAAGAGACAGTTTTAGTTTTGGGAAATGTATGGTTGTGCACTAATTGATTGCTTCAGAAAACGATCAAGTGCATTTTCAATTTCAGTATTCAGTGGAAAACTCCCATGCAATCATTTTAAATTGGTTTTTAAGCTTAAACATTTCCTTAACTCTACCAAATACATAATAAAACAAACGTAAAGATGGTCTACTGCATTAAGTGCTGTGCATAAACACTGATATTTTAGATCAGGTTTCCTAAACAACTTTTATTTACACTTGTTTGAAAACTAATTTATTTGGCAACTGCTGGCAGATTCCTGAAAAACAAATTATTTCTTCATCCTGAGTGGTCAGTCATATTCAATTTATTTACTGCCAATAAAGTTTTGAAGGATTATTGTCTGTTTTCTTGCAGGTGAAGCCTTTGATATGTCACAACATATAGGCTATGCTGTCTGTAACATAATCTGCTCCATGGTTTATGGAAAAAGATTTGAATACGATGATGTAGACTTCAAAAAAATTGTTAATCGAACAAACAGATTAATTCAGATGATTGGCTCACCAGCAATACAGGTGTGACTTTACTGCTTTTGAATGTATACAAAACTGACTTTTCAATTGTTGTTCTGAACACAAGACCTAAAATGTGAAAAGAAAAACTAACTGTTTATCTTCTCTTTATTAGCTGTCTAACATCTTCCCAATTTTTGGCAAACTGATGTTCTTTGCCAGAAGGAAATTAGGCAAGATATTTCTTGCCAATAAGCAACATCATCTGATGCTCCTAAACCATTTAAGACAAACCCTCAGTCCAAAGGTGTGCAGAGGAGTTGTAGATGCCTTCCTCATCCGTCAACAGCAACATCAGGTCAGAAACGTAATTGTTTTTCAGATATAATATTCAATATTGTACTCTGACTTTATCAGAATACATCTGCCTTGTTTTTAGTCAAAGTGCTCTAGAGACTAGGCATAAAACAATGGCTAGAGTTTACAGACATACAAATTTATGTTAACTCAATAAAACGCAAACAAATAAAGATAAAAATTGATCCGTGAAAGGCTGAACAGCGATAAAACTAATGATGAATGAAGGTGTATTTGAAAATTATTACATTTTGATCCATGAGAATCATAACATTTTTATTTGCGCTATCATGGTAAAATATATTGTTAAAAAAGCACCAGGATAAGTAGCCTGGGTGCCATTTCGAACTTAGTTCGGTCTGGCATTGCTCCATAGTAGCGCGAGTATGATCGCCCACTCTCTGGCGATCCAATCAAATTGTCAGGACGGGCTTTATACGATGATGGACAGATGATCAACAGTAACGTAATCAACCACGTGACCAAAGCGTGCATGGGTGACAACAACAATGGCTGCCGCTGGAGAGTTTCGGTGAGTAGATTCTGCTATTAGGTCTGTTCTTGAAGATATCGACAGCAAATTAATTTTAAAAGGGGAACAGAGAAATGCGATCAAGGCTCATCTTCTTATCCTAGGCGTGCAACTGCACGCTTTGATTTTTGTTGACAACAACTATGCATCGCTTAACAAAATTCACGCACTCCATTGCTCTTATTGGTTGTAGGTCTATCCAATTGAGTGCAGAGGCATTTTTTTTCCTGGTTCGTTCGAAACACGCCTCATAATCACAGCTCTATGGAGCAGTATCAGACTCATATTCTGACTAGAATTGAGTAGGACTACGTCAGGCTACAGGATAAGAGCAGCTGTAAAGAAGGAAAACCAGAATTTTCTACATGATAATATATATATAAGCTGGCAAAAGTTCTTAGTCATCCAGGTAGTAGTCAGTCCAAAAAAAAGAAAATTAAAAACAATCCACTGGACTTTGTTTCCAAGTTTGAAGATGTTTCGCTTCCCATCCAGGACTTCAGGAAGCGACCGACCTTTCAGACACTTAGATGGGTATGGGGCTTTGCAGTCTAACAAAAGAAGCCAATCCACCCCCGTTCCAAAGGGGTGGACGCGTTCGTCTGCTCCAATTTGCATGTTTTCAAAACAAAAACAAGGTTTTGTTGGGCTATTGTATAAAACCTCGAACTCAACGCTATTCCTGACATTTTGATTAGAAAAAGCTTTCTGGATGGGAAGTGAAACGCCTTCATACTTGGAAACAAAGTCCTCTAGATTGTTTTTAATGGGTTTTTTTGGAATTATATAGCTAATAAAACATTAACATTCATGTTAAAATAAATATATATTAAAACGGTACATCCAGTTTGCGGGATGACTTCCTGCCGAGGGGCAAAGACAAAAAACAAGATTAAGACAAAAACTCAGTTTGACTCAGCAAAACTCAGCTTGGCTAGAGAACCCAAAACTGGCAAACACTCTGGCGTCGAGGTAGTGGCAGTTAGCAGCTTAAGAGCGCTCCGTTAACGAGGTAACCCTCTGCAGGTGTGTGGGGAGGAGAATCAGAACTAGGCGCCTCCTGGTGGAGGAAGGGAGACAAACACAGAAACACACAGACAGGAATCCTGACACATAGAGGCAGTAAGAAAAAACCAACAGGAACTTTCCATCACATTCTGTGGGTGGTGCAATTTGGCAATAAAACACCTTTGCTCTGGGGCTTTAAAATCAAAATGGTCATAAACCAACAGTTTTTTTTGCAAACAGTGGGGATGCTTAAATATCTGGTTGCCTGCAAAGATCTTTCGATTAAATGATGGCACTACAAACTACAGTGAGTAAAAATAAGTGAACCTGACCGATCTAGAGAACATCTGTTTGGAGGAGTGGGCCAAATCCCTCCTGCAGTGTGTACAATCCTGGAGAAAAACTACAGGAAACGTTTCACCGCTCGAATTGCAAACAAAGGCGACTGTATCAAATACTAACATTGATTTTCTCAGGTGTTCAAATACGTATTTGCAGATGTATCACACAAAAAAATAGTTTAAAAAAATCATACATGAAGACTTCTGAATTTTTTGTTTTAGATAATATCTCTCACAGTGGACATGCACCAATGACGACAATTTTACACCCCTTCTTGAATTCTAAGTATAACCTGTAAAATAATAGGGTGTTCAAATACTTATTTTCTTCATTGTATATACTTTAATCTATCCTGAGATATATTTCAATTCTAACTTTTAGAACTCTTTATTCGTTTCAATTTTTGATTTTAGTTTTAGAATTTGTATTAATTAGAAAACATTGTTGGTCTACCCTAAATTAAGCTCAGACATCAGGAATTACTTTATCATCCATGATAGTCAGTTATTCATGTATGGTTTATCATTCTCGTTTTTGAACTGTACCTTTTCATCGACTTAATAGTATGCTATTAATACAGTAATACAGAATTAATAAAGTATGCTCTTTGAAAAAGTAAAAATTATTCTTTGGTTTGCTTTGTTAACTTTATTTTGTGCTCTCAATTAAGAAAAAAGAAAGATTTGGACTTAAAACCTATAAACGTGCTTTAAGCACACACTATCAATATGGCCTTGCTAAAAAAATAAAAAAAATAAATAAATAAATACAGTCTAACAGTTGCTTTTCTGCAGGAATCTGGGATCACTGACAGCCATTACCATAATGACAACCTCCTGGTGACAGTCATGAATCTGTTTGCAGCTGGAACTGAAACAACAGCTACAACACTGAGATGGGCCCTCCTGTTTATGGCCAAATATCCAAAAATACAAGGTTAGGAGAAACATATCCTTTGACATTTTGTAAAAAAAAATATTGTAAAAAATATTGCAGTAGGTAGCTGCTGATTACAAAAATTAGAAAATATGCAATGCTTATTGCTTTTATGCCTCCAGACCAAGTCCAGGAGGAGCTGAGGAACGTGATTGGAAGCCGCCAGGTGCAGGTTGAGGACAAACAAAAGCTGCCTTTTACAGAGGCTGTCATCTATGAGACACAAAGACTGGCCAACATTGCCCCTCTGGCAATTCCTCACAGAACAAGCAGCGATGTCACCTTTCAAGGTTATTTTATTGAGAAGGTATACATATAAACTTGGTTGATGACGCATGGCATTTATATGTGGTCAAATCTGAATGAAATGTGAAAAAAGAAAACAGCTGGTAATAAGTTTTAAATCCATTCATATAGCGTAATTGGACATTATGCTCAAAAAAGTCATTGTTACACTGAAAATCTGTCATGATTTAATTAAAGGTCTGACCCAAAAATGCAGATGACCAAACAGAGAGACCAGGGAAAGGTTTAACAGGTTTATTAAGAATATAGAGATGAGTCCAGTGCTGCTCTGAACACTGTCAAACCGGAATTCTCCAGAAAAGGTGTCCTTTATGGAATCCAGTCTGTGTGGAATGCTCCAGAGATTGTCTTGTTTGGTGTTGGGTGGACAGGGTTACTCAGACTGCAGTTGTTCCTTGGTGAATGGAGAAGCTGACTACCACTCAGATTTCCTGTGGTACTTGAACGGGCTGTGGTGCAGATGAAACCTTTGCTCAGTGTGAAGCTCAAACTACCTCTTGGGGAAAGTGGATCCAAACTTCCTGTTTGGAACCCCACCTCAGTTAGAAGCTCAGTTGGTCCTTCCAGAGAGAGAAGGTCCAAACAAATCCAGTTTGCAGGATGACTTCCTACCGAGAGGCGAAGACAAAAAACAAAGTTAAGATTCAGGTTGACAAAAACTCAGTTTGACTCAACACAACTTAGCTTTGCTAGAGTACCCAAAACTGACAAACAAAAACTCAGGTTAGACTCTGCTAAACTAAGCATGGCTAGAGTACCCTGTATTGGCAAACACTGGCGTCAAGGTGGTGGCAGTCAGCAGCTTAAGAGCACTCCACAGGCAATGAGGCAATGAGCTGCAGGTGTGCAGGGAGACCCAATGAGGACGGGGCACCACCTGGTGGAGGAGGAAAGGAAACACAAAAACAGACCACACAAACTGGATTCCTGACAAAATCAGTCCGATATGCTTATCTTTTATTACTGTACCAGCCCTTTGAGTGACATCTGGGCGTCCTTGGGCTACCCTAACTTTAAATTAGCTGAAAGACCAAACCATGTTTTTAAACAAAATTATTAGGAAGAAAAACAGTCTAATTGGAATCTGCACTTTGTATCCCCAAATCTTAAACACTAAATTTTTCAGCACTGTATTTAAAACACTGAATCTTTTTACACATTGAATTCTTTACACTGAATTTTTTTGTGGTAAAAATTCAGTCTTTAAAATTTGGTGCTAAAAAAAATTTGTGTTTAAAATTCTGTGTAATAAAAATTCAGTGTTTCCAAATTTCCTCTCTTTCTGTCTGAACTTTAATAACATTAGGCTCACATTGAATGCTGTGCAGCTGCGGTACGGATGACGCCAGAAACCCAAATCCTTTTATTTCAATGTGTACACCCATGTTAGTCACAGTGCCGTGCATTTAGGGGTACAGAGGCCGTGGGGGTCAACAAAGTCTTGAAGTATGAAGGAAGTTTGGCCAGATGCTGCACTGGTCTCAACATCAGAAAAATAAACAGAAAAAGCAGGTGCAAGACAGAAAAAGGTTGTGATGAATTTCAGGGGATTTCAGTATATTAAACCCACCAACCTGTGACTAGTGAAAACAACAAGGCAAAACAGTAATAAAACAGTTATAGCAATGCACACAATCAAGTAGACATCACACTTTCTTTTGACCTAAAGCCTCACTCTCACACCACATATATTTTATCTTCCATTCTGCCATGGATGCTCTTGCTTCTATGTTTTTATTCTCAACCAAAACAGAAGATAGTGTTGGGATCCAGAGGCTTGCCCACCAGAGGGCGCCGAGGATCCCTTCCTGATGGTTTGTTCTTCTGTTGGGATCTGGGGTGCTGTCTACCTTCCTCCACCAGAGGGCGTACTGAATCTCCTGAAGCTGGAGCTGACTTCACCAGCTGCTTCTCATCTGCTCATCAGGGGACCAGTACTTAAGTGGGCTGTGGACAACACTCTGGTGCCAGAGTGTTAGTCAGTCACGGAAGAAACCTGACTGAACCCTGGAACTCAGGAAGAGTTTCTCTGCTGAAATCTGCCTGCCGGCCCTCAGGAGCTCATCAGAAGAATCTAACTGTCTGAACCTGCCTGCCCGCCCTCAAGAAGAGGATCGGAAGAGACTCTGGATCAGAACACTGAAAGGTCTGAAGTCGAGCCCTGCCGTTGCTCAGCCCTCAGCCTGCCGTCTGCCTCTGAACCCAAACCTGGAGATCTACAAGCCCCAGCCAAGCCAAGCCTCCTCCGAGCCTTCAGTCTGCCGTCTGCCTCTGAACCCAAACCTGGAGATCTACAAGCCCCAGCCAAGCCAAGCCTCCTCCGAGCCCTCAGCCTGCCGTCTGCCTCTGAACCCAAACCTGGAGATCTACAAGCCCCAGCCAAGCCAAGCCTCCTCCGAGCCCTCAGTCTGCCGTCTGCCTCTGAACCCAAACCTGGAGATCTACAAGCCCCAGCCAAGCCAAGCCTCCTCCGAGCCCTCAGCCTGCCGTCTGCCTCTGAACCCAAACCTGGAGATCTACAAGCCCCAGCCAAGCCAAGCCTCCTCCGAGCCCTCAGCCTGCCGTCTGCCTCTGAACCCAAACCTGGAGATCTACAAGCCCCAGCCAAGCCAAGCCTCCTCCGAGCCCTCAGTCTGCCGTCTGCCTCTGAACCCAAACCTGGAGATCTACAAGCCCCAGCCAAGCCAAGCCTCCTCCGAGCCCTCAGCCTGCCGTCTGCCTCTGAACCCAAACCTGGAGATCTACAAGCCCCAGCCAAGCCAAGCCTCCTCCGAGCCCTCAGCCTGCCGTCTGCCTCTGAACCCAAACCTGGAGATCTACAAGCCCCAGCCAAGCCAAGCCTCCTCCGAGCCCTCAGTCTGCCGTCTGCCTCTGAACCCAAACCTGGAGATCTACAAGCCCCAGCCAAGCCAAGCCTCCTCCGAGCCCTCAGCCTGCCGTCTGCCTCTGAACCCAAACCTGGAGATCTACAAGCCCCAGCCAAGCCAAGCCTCCTCCGAGCCCTCAGTCTGCCGTCTGCCTCTGAACCCAAACCTGGAGATCTACAAGCCCCAGCCAAGCCAAGCCTCCTCCGAGCCCTCAGCCTGCCGTCTGCCTCTGAACCCAAACCTGGAGATCTACAAGCCCCAGCCAAGCCAAGCCTCCTCCGAGCCCTCAGTCTGCCGTCTGCCTCTGAACCCAAACCTGGAGATCTACAAGCCCCAGCCAAGCCAAGCCTCCTCCGAGCCCTCAGTCTGCCGTCTGCCTCTGAACCCAAACCTGGAGATCTACAAGCCCTAGCCAAGCCAAGCCTCCTCCGAGCCCTCAGTCTGCCGTCTGCCTCTGAACCCAAACCTGGAGATCTACAAGCCCCAGCCAAGCCAAGCCTCCTCCGAGCCCTCAGTCTGCCGTCTGCCTCTGAACCCTCCTGGTTCCCTCCTTCTGCCTGCTCAGCTCAAACCTCAACCCTCAGCCTGCCGTCAGCCTCTGAGTCCCCCTGGTTTCCCCCTTCTGCCGTTCTGCTCAACTTCCTTAACAGTAAACCCAGTCGTGACCAGCCCTGGACCTGATTACCCCCCTGACCTGTTTGTTATTCTTCATTAAAACTTTGAAGTTTTTCCCAGTCTCTGAGTGTGTTCTGCATATGGGCTAGCATCCAGAAACCCATCATGACAGATAGAACTGCTCTCTTTTCCGTCCATTTCTACCGATCTGCCGCTAGAATTCAGTTGAAGAGGAAGCTGGGAGTGAATCACAATAAGCATCCAGGTCCAGATGAGTCCTGTGGACTGGATAGGACAGTTAACAGGTTATTATAGACAAAACGAAGGCTGAGCAGGAAACCTCTGGTAATGATTGATAAATGTGATGGATGGAGAATTTGTTATATAGCTGGACTCATTTGACTGATTCCAGTATTTTTTTCTAAATCATTGCTGGAGGACCTTACCGTGTTTGATTGATTCATGTCAAGAAAACATCATCTAAGATTAAAACATATTTCGTCCCTCATGTATTGTTTCAGTGAAGGGCTTTGCTTTCTGTTGAGTTATAAGATTTAATAATAATTACTTCCTAAGGATGTCATTATTACAATCTGCATAAGCCTGAGACTCTAATTCATTTCAGCCAAGGTAGAAAAGCATCCATTCAGTTTGAAGATCATCATTATGGGTCTGTGATTTCCAGGGAACCCCTGTAATTCCTGTCTTAACGTCTGTCCTGCAAGATGAGAGTGAGTGGGAGAAGCCAAATGTCTTTTATCCTGGCCATTTCCTGAACAAAGACGGGAAGTTTGTCAAGCGTGATGCTTTCATGCCTTTTTCAGCAGGTAAGTTTGTTTTTATATATCATAATTCAAATTTTTCAGGCTTTTGCTGAGGATCTGTTTCAAATAGGTCGCAGGATGTGTCCTGGAGAGGGTCTGGCCAGAATGGAGCTCTTCATCTTCTTCGCCACTCTCCTGCAGCACTTTCGATTTGCTCCACCTCCCGGAGTTACAGAGGAGGAATTGGATATAGCGCCACTAGTTGGTGGTACTCTTATCCCTCAACCCCATACATTGTGCGCCATCCCTTTAATGTAAGGAGGGGCTCTTATTGGAAAAAAAAAAGAAATAAATTTTAACAACATTTTTAAAGAAGAGCTTGAAAGGTTGTCAGTAATAATAAAATGTAAAAATAACAGATACCTTAAATGGAATTTTTTTTTTTTAAGAATGTACTATTTTCTTTACCTCATAAAGATCAATTAGCAACCATACTCGCACTGATGTTTGTCTTTTAATATATATTTTCTCTGAAATTTATTTTTTTCCTTTTTTTGGGTAAGCTACACTTGAGAGATTGAACCATAGTAGCACAGATCAGAGCTATGGTAAGACTGCTTTGCAATATATGTTTTAAAAAGAGATCACACTCATGTATTCAAACATTAATACTATTCATCAATCTGGTGTGTATAATTTTATTTTGCATTGAACATGAATTATTATCCACACTTAGTTTCCCTTGGAATCAATAAAGTTCCATATCTACTGAACTGTGTGCAGGCTTAGTTTTTGCTGTTTTTTTAGTTGCTCTCCCTTTTCCCTGTCTGTCTAAATTAGGCATATTATAATTCTTTCATCCTGTTCCTCGCTCCTCTTCACTCACCCTTCATGGGGCCAACAGTAAGAACACTATTGTGTGTAGGAAATTAACTACAAACTGTTTTAGCCCTTCCTGATGTCATTCCTGGGTGTAAAACACACATAGATGTTTTTTTCTCTGAAAAAAAGAATTCAACTGTTTTTTGCATTTACTTAATCATATTTAGTTACTTTAACACAATTGTTTCTTGTTAGCAGGGTAGGACATAAAAAAGTTGTGTTTAACTAAATATGATTAAGTAAATGCAAAAAAAAGGGTTACGTTCTTTTTTTCAGCCTTCTGAAAGAAATAACCAAATTATGCAATTTAACTAGATGCAGCAAATATGGGGGAGTGTTGGTCTAGCAGTTAGAGCAGTGCGCTTGTTCTCTGAGAAGGTTGGAAGTACACGGTTCGATCCTCATAGCCGGCACTCTAGGTTCCTGAGCAAAACCTTAACCCTACGCTGCTCCCCGGGAGCCACACAATGGCAGCTCACTGCTCCCCAAGTGAATGGGTTTAATGCATAGACTGAATTTCCCCATTGTGGGACAATAAAAGATTACATTTTTTTTTCTTCAAATTCTATATTATAAAACCCAAAACGTATAGAGGTGGGTACATTTACATGTATTGTATTGCCATACAAGGCTCGTATGACTTTTCCTTTTTCGGCTCCAGACAGATTTTTTTTTTTTTTTGGTCCAATATGGCTCTTTGAGCAGCTTGGGTTGCCGATCCCTGATCTAACCTGGCTGAGTTTCTAATAGGTTAGAAAATAAGAATGAATATCAGTCTAAAAATGTGAAGCTAATGGTGGAAAAAATTCACCAAATGCAAAATATAGTCCTTACCTGCAATGACTCAGGGGCTTTAATAACATACAGTAGGAAGAGCATACTCAATAAACTTAGGAAAAAAGAAATCTCTCTCTCTCTCTCTTTTTTAATTTTATATCCAACACAATTATAACCAATTTCTCCCCACATTTAATATAAAATATATGCAATGAAACAAAATCTGAAAACGGTATGGATACCAATCCAGGGCTCAGGACAGTTACATTTTTCTGAGACAATATACAGTATGACCATTTACATTACTGCTTTAAGATAATGTCTTTGTGCAATGCTGTTTACTTGTAGGAGGCTGGGATCACCAACTCTCACTACCACAATGACAACCTCCTGGTGACAGTCATGAACCTGTTTTCTGCTGGGACTGAAACAACTGCCACAACACTGAGATGGGCTCTGATGTTTATGGCCAAGTATCCAAAAATAAAATGATGTATTGGCATCGGCGAGTACCAACAAATAGGGCACAATACCATTTTGAGGTTTGTTGTACACTTGAACACCACCTTCTCTCTCCCGACACTCACTAGTGTTAATTATTGCTATTGGCCTGCTCCAGACCAATGAGAGCGGGCCAATATTCCCTCTTAACCAATGCCAGGGTAGTTTTTTTATGCGGTGGGGAAAAAAAACAGGAGAAGAAAATGTCTGCCGGGTGGAAGTATTTCGTTATAGAAATGCCGGCGAGTACATTGTCTAAATACAAGATTTGCGACCTGAAAATTTCGAGACTAAATACAATCTACCAAATACAATTAATGTTTGAATTTCAAGGCATATTGAGGTTTTTCACATTTTACAGTTTTTGCATAATTTTCACCATATTGACGATTTTAAGAGATGATTGTTGGAAGCTTGGCAAATCAATGTAAACAGGGCTTGGCTTGTATAATATAGATTTAAATGTATGTCACCTGTTTTAGTTTGACAAAAAAGGCTGCACATGGAATTACATCTGAGCTGGTGGAGTTCCGCTGACAAGATGGAGGGACTTACCAACAGCTACGTTTAATTGTCTACATATGCCAGAAAGACAACAAATGGTATTTACTGTAGGCTTTGATAAAATCTGGGTGTTTAGATGCATGTTTTTTTCATGTGTACTCTATAGCATGCACTGTCCCGATCAAATGAATAAATGAGAAAAATATCAGAAGAATTCTAGTGCACAATTTACACACTTTCATTCACAAGTATTTAAGTTCCTAAACCACATTGTTTACTATCCTCAAATATTTCCACTGTTGAATTGGCTATGTGTGTGTGTATTTTTTTTATTATTTAAGAAAAAAAAAATAGCCAAACCAAATCTTCAGTAGGTGCCATACTGGTCATCTGTGGATGTTTTACATATAAGACAAAAGTTTCAGACATGAAAATAATCCTCTGTGATTATGTAAAAAAAATGTTTTTCTCCAGCTTTTATTGTTATTCCACTGTCACAATTACAGAGCAATGAAATTAACTCTCTGCATTAAACCCATCCCCTTAGGCAACAGTGGGCTACCATTGTGTGGCACCTGGGGAGCAGTTTGGGGTTAAGCTCAGAGACACAGTGTGGCAGTCTTTGGGAGTGGGGCTTCAACTCAGAACCTCTGGATTCCAAAGACAATGCCCTAACCACTAGGCCACCCCTGCCTTCCAGTTAGGCGAATTTCTTAAATTCTCCCAACTGATGTTTGAATCTAATTTTAAAAATCACACAATGGTTAAGAGAAAACTCCAAATACCTGTTTTAACTTGTCTGTAAAGTTCCTCTACCTACACATGGGATCTTCATTTTGCATCTGCATCATCATCCCCTCCATAATGTCCTGGCCTGGTGACATGAGGACCATTTATACCTTTCTGCTTCATTCCTTTCCTATTCTCTATTTTTAAGGTGAACTTATACTTTATTGTCATACTTGTTTCATCTGGTCTGATTCTGTTTAGCTGTGAAATCATCAGGGAGTCATCAGTTGTGCTGCTGCCTTTAACAACTTTGATTATAGATGATAGAATTGGGCCTGTTCTTCACTTTATTCCCATTTCTCTCCTAGGCTGAGTTTTGACTGTGACTAACTATATATTATCTCTGTCATCCTCTTTGACAAGGAAACCATCTCAGAGATGATCTGCCTAAATAATTATTTCCTAGGCAGATCCACTAGTGGAGATGATTCACTGTTACCTTCTATATCATAGCAAGTATTTATATATCATTGCTTCTGTCTTCTTGAACCCCCAGATGGCCTTGGCAGAAGGCTACTGACACTGAGCTAGATTGTGCTGAAGGTTTCATCCTGACAAAGTCTTCCTCCCCACTGTTGCTTAATGCATGCTCTGTCTGAGGGATTGCTGTAGACTCAACAGCACGGAGCATGCAGATGTCTACTATTGCCACATGCTCACCCAGAAGGAGTGAAAAATCTGTGTGATTTAATTCATTTGAATTCAGTTGACTTGATTAAATTGTTTGCATGCATGCTGCAGACATTTTGGGCAATGTTTTATCTCCTGTCATTACCTTGGTTCAGTGATGCAGCAGTTAAGATTGTGGCAATAGTTGTCCACCTGACTCCGGAAAGTAGAATAATTCTATTCAGTTTATTTGTAAAGCGGCAATTCACAAAACATGTCATCTCAAGGTACTTTACAATAAAAATTCAATCAGATCACACAGTCAGACCTGTTCAAAGTTTTCTATCAATGGAAAACCAGCTAATTGCATCAAGGCATTAACGCTACAGCAATCCCTCACTCTGACCATGCATGTACGCTTTCAGGAAGACTGTGTTTCACAAGATACTGGCTTATTCCTGATGATGAAGCTAGGCTAATGAGCTGCTCAGTTTGCATTTGCACTTTTTTGTCATGAAATTGAATAAAATTCTAAATTACAACTTTATTGAATAAAACTACATAACCCTTTACTGTAACATTGTTTACATTTAAAATAATTTTTTCTTGTAATAATTTATTCCTTTAAAATACATGAGATCAAATTGCTATTTTAAATTTTTTATGGCAGGTTAAAATATGCTTGGCTGATTAAATTTTTTATCTTCCGGTCCATTCCACTGGTCAAGTTAATTTCAGACCCTGGGCACAAAAAGGTAAATATCTGAGGTTATTTAGAAGCTCCCGAGCAGGTGGTTTCAGTAGGTCAAATGAATCAATACAGTCACAGGAGGAGGCATTCTGAGGGAAGGCAGCACCTTCAAATCACCACAAGAGGACAGCAGAGAGCAACAAAGAGTGCACACACTACAGGTGTATGGCTGCAACATGCTACTGTTTAAGAAAAAAGTGGGCAGAAACACACTTTTTCCCACTTTTATTGTTTTTATTAACACTCCCCAGATTCTTCCATTCTCCAAAAATGTACATATATGAATTACCCCACTCTATAATGGCCTACAGTGTATCAGCATGACTTTGTGTAACTTTATAACTGGTCCATTACGCTCCCTAAAAATTGTCCGGTCATACATCTTAATCAGCCAACCTAACCTCTGGTTTGAAAGTACCAGTATCACCATTCTAACTTTGATTTTAAACAATGGATTTATAAAAAAAAAAAAAAAAAAAAAAAAAAAGCAGAAAAAAAATAATCAAAACATTTTATTTTGTAAAATATTTGTGAG